CATATTTACATTTACATATTTATAAAAAAAAATTACTATAAAAATAGTAATAGACAAACAAAATAAAATTCTTAAATTGGAACAAACAAAAATTAATTGAAAACTTTCCCCCTTCAGGTTTTGGAAAAATGATGTTGCTTCATGTTTGATATAATTACTTTAAAATTGGGACTTTTTGATGTAAGAGCAATTTGAATACAGTCTTCGGCGTTTAATCGATTTCTGTTTTTCGTTTTTATGTTCATTAGAGTGGAATAAATGTAAATTAATTCAATAAATAATATTTATTTCAAATTTACATTGATCGTTTTCTTTTCAGAATGGGGGAGGGGGTAATATCGATTTACGCAATAACATTTTGGGGTAATGGTTAAAAAAGTTCCTCGACCGCTGATCTATAGTCATAACAATGTTTAATAGCTTAGTACACACATGTTAATGTTATAGGAAAGTTTGAAGTCTAAAGATTTTAGTATAAGATGATCTAATTAACATGCGTGCTTATTTATAAATGATATTAAAACTAAAGGCAAGAAAAAACATCGAAAAATTGCCATTGTTTAGTCAATTATATAAAATAGTGCGATTATTAATGAAATGATGTAAAATTTGAAAATCTTATTATAATATTGGTATCAAAGTTGAAACTTATTGCAGGAAATGTGTGTATCTATGATGAAGATAAGTTTATTATTATTTGAGATATGAATGATGTTAATTGGACTTGGACTTGGTTGTGGTAATCTACTGGATACGATGGGATGATGAGAAGCGAGGAAAATTAAACACACAGCCGTCTATTTCTTCTTGCTGTTGTTGGTTTGGTCTGCGGTATTGGATGCACGTGTAAGTGTGTGTTGTGTGTGTTTGTGAGAGAGGTGAATAATGCGCTGTAAGCTGTGTGGGCCATTAGCATAGGGCGTGCGGCCGCGACCTACCCCACGGCCCACGTGTGAGATCTACACGCCGATATCCGCTACTCCTACATCACAATAGCCTCCTCGCCAAGCACCCAGCCAGCTACTACCTATGTGTAGTACTTGGAGATAAGAGTCGACGTGTGACTTATGTTGGCTCGTTTATTTACCACTACGCCGTGGAAAACGGACGGACGTCTTGCTTTTGCCACCGGTGTCCCCCCCTCGACCGAA